GTTTTTAAATTCCCTTTTGCTTAAATGAGATTATATAAGAGGTGAGATAAAGCCGCATAGTATTCTTGTCTTAGTGTTAACTTGGGAATTTTACAAGAATAAGTCCCAACTCTAATGATGTTTATCATATGATGGACGAAATCTCAGCTTGTTTTCACCTAAAAAGAGGGCGGAGGTTTCGTGGACTGCATCAATCTCAACATCGTATCAAAGCCAAATGACTGCAGTACAACGGGATTCATCCGTTCTCTTCTAATGAGATCGACCTTCGAATCTTTTCATACGCTTTCATGCAAAATGAAAGTCCCAACAATAATTTAGTAAAAATAATTAGAAAAGGAAGATGTGCCATCTGATTATCGCATCATTTTGGTATTGACCGGGAGACTAGCGATAAATTTCTTCACGCTACTTCGGATAATTGATATTTAAGTATTTCATCGATACTTAAATCTGTATCGTAGATGGGGAATGCCATGAAAATTGTGAAGCACAATTCGCAGTGAGCATTTGTATTCCTTCGAAAATTGGTCAGATCAACATTTGAGTTAGTAAGTCTTTATGGAGTATGGAGTGAAAACCTCACATGGTTTATTTTGTGCCATGAAGCATAATTGTGGCCCGTTGAAATTCTTAGTAAAGAAGGTTCCAGGATAACTCAAGTCAATTCCTAAATTCTTTATATTGTACTCTTCGCTCATTTATGGGTACCTTATTATAAACATTTGTCAAATTTATAATGGCCTGTAGATAGACACTTAGATATCTGGATAGACTAGCCATTTTAATTGTTTTCTATTTTATGTCTGATCAAGCCCCGTTGCATAAACTTTGTTAGAATTGAATTAAGATTTTCTTCAAACGATCTGCTTTCCTTGAAGGCTTATTTTAGCTCTTTGCCATTTAGCTTCGCAAAATCTGTTGATTTCTTAAATTAATATTTTTTTCCTAATAGCTACTATCAACTACTTATCGTATTTGGAAAGTATGACATAATTCTTTGTGTCAATGGATTTTTTTATTCAGGAGGAAAAATTAAAATGAATTCTTAGACTAGCCTTTTTTGCAACAATTGTACTCGTTTGCGACCATCTAAAGTAGATATGAGGTGATGTAATATGAAGTTTTTATTGTTTTGGAGCTGTCTGAAAAATGACAGGATAGCTCAGCTCGTATGAATTTGGGTTGCATGATAGTACGCGAGGACTTTTTTGCACAAATTGGTAGTCAACTTTAAATCTACCTTAGTTTTAAATTAGGCTTTATGGACTACCAGTAGATCTTGAATAAGAACTGTATTCACCCTATTTTACAGAAAGATATGAGTAAGTTTCACTTTTTTATTGAATTTCGCTTCGCCTTGCTTAAAAAGGTATTCTCATCCAGTTTGGACCTCGCCTAGGTCCAAACTACCAGTACTTAATTACCTTAAGCGATATAGGGGGAATAGGTTCTTAATCAAGATCTACTGGTAGTATCTAAGGCTTACTTAAAAAGACTAATGTAGTCGATTATAATAGCAAATAAAACGTTGCTTCATCGACGATCCCACCACAGAAAGTCACATGGGAAATGCTTGGTCTTCCTTGAAATTCTCGTCTGCTTTGTGATCCAAAGGCATTCGTGGTAGTTTAGCCTAGTAGCTAACGTTTCCATGCGCTAGGTTCGAGTCCTGCTAGAGGTGTTGATGAATCTAGGCGATGCCGAAACTACAGATCACTCTGGCTCGAACAATTTTATGACTAGTGGGGATGCAAATTATTTTCATACTACCTTGGGGAAAAAATCTGAGTGGACAATTGGGATTCGGTGCAATGATCTCAGTAAAAGAAATTAATGAATAAACAGTCATTAAAAAGATACTAAAGTATGATCATACATAAGTTATTTTCTTTCTAATTTTTTACAGCTCCTGATTGTTCTCGATTCTCAGGACTTGACGTTGTGTTGGCAGTCCCTACTCTTTGCTGCCACTTCGATTGGTCATCACTGCGATGTCGAAGAGAATAAAGAGGACGACGACAGTGATGATGGTGATTATCCACCAGTTGGCTTGGACCTAGGTGATTTAGATGACGGCAAACAGAGGGCAAATGATCAGGCTAATCACCTGATTCGCATTAACTGGCAATGTTTCCTTTCTCTTGTCGCTGTGGCGGTTGTATGTTCTAAGGGCGCAGTGCCTTTAATTAAAGGTAAGCTCTCTTTTTTTCTAAGTTCTTTCTTTTTGGTTACAGAACACATTTATTACTTTGTCTCATTTTTTAAATTTTAACTTTTTTTCAGCTTCCTTTTACTTTACATCCATACTTTTGTCTTTGCTACTCATTTGCTTCTAAAGATAAACATTAAAAGAATCTTCACTAGATTTCTTAAATGTGAAGGCCATTTTGGATTCGGCTGAATTAGAAAAGTTTAATATATTATTCTAAAATCTTCTAGCAAATATGCATTCGAACTTGGTGATTCTTAGCCTCTTTGGATTATTCTGGATATTTCGACATTAGGTTTAGAGATATTAGTCTCATCTCGTGCAGACGACATGAGCTTTATACTTTTTTATAAATAAAAATAAATAAATAAACAAATAAATAAATATATATATTGAAATTCTCACTTTATTAATAAGGGTTATATGCGAAAGAAGCTACAAGCGTAGCTAAGG